AAGTCATAAGACTATAGAGATAGAAAAAGCATGCTGATAACTGGATTATATTGAGGTAGCAGCAAAAGCGACTCGCAAAGGCATAAACTATACAGGAAAGGACCAACGTGACAACTGATATTTACAATTTCTGTACATCAAATTGGGAAAAATATTTTCAACACACAGAGCAATAATACAAAGAGCCCGATTACAAAGCAATAAGTCACACACGAATGTCCCCACTGCAACTGGGCAAGGGACTGACAACCCACAAAGATAAATGCCCAAGAAATACTTACAAGAGAAGCTTAAGCTCATCAGTAATCAAATAAGCAAAAATAAAGATGGGGTATTACTTTTCCCTAATCAGAATGATACAGGTGAATAACAGAAATAACACAATTAATCTTGAGGCCTGGGTGGGTACACCGGCACTCATGGTTTGGGAGGAGGGGTGTCCTGCACACTGGCTGAGAACACGGCTTCTGGAGAGAGGCCACCTGGCTCCTCTAAGACCCATCTGTCCACTGCGGGGTTTCTACAGTGCAGAGAGGATACTACACTCCTCTCTGCTCCCCCTACGGGATTAAATGAGAACATCCCCGGGAAGCACATGGTATCTACTCACCAGACACTAACCCAGCCCCAGCCTTGAAGGGAGAACAACTTTTCTAGATGGCACTGGGCTTTGGGCACCAACATTTTCCCAGCAATTCCACTTGCAGGAGTTTACCCCAAGTAGACGGTCAGTTCGACACCCGAGAGACGGCGAGGTAGGGTTGATGGTTGCAATGCCGTTCACACTGGGAACCACCTGGCTTCCGGGGGCAGTCTGGGTAAGTGGATTATGATGCAGCCCCAGTGTGCCCCAGTTCACTGCCGGGAAGACACTTCCGCTGCACAAACTCTGCCCAGTGTGAGCCCAGAAGATCAAAGCCCGTCTGTCTGTGCCCCAGAGAGACCGGAAGCCTGTTTGCTAGAGCAATAAGGTTTTGTGCGCCTCTGCATCAAAGGGTTTTTTTCCTATCTTGTTTATAATGTTCTGTACTGACTGGATTTCCTACTGGCATATGTATCTTTTTATCAGAGTAAAGCTATTTTCATTTTGAAAATACTTTTGGGAAGAAATGAAAGCTACCTGTCAAAGACCTGCTCCCCTTGCCCCAGCCTCGCCCCACTGGCCCCACGGGGCTACTTGTCCTGATGTGTTCTGCCCAGAGCACACAGCGCACACTCCCCAAGCACAGCCGCCACCCAGGACGACACCAGGAAGCTGCCACCAGAGGTCGCAAGTGCACGCCATCTGCCACCCACACAGAGCTCCTTGAAAAACCTTCAGCCTGGCTGGAGGAACCACAGTGTATCTGTTTTGTATATCATTGTTGTGGACAAAGTAAAAAATAAGCAATCCAGCCAGGCGCTGTGGCTGAGCACTTTGGGAGGCTGAGGAAGGAGGATCGCTTGAGCCCAAGAGGTTGAGGCAGTGAGCTGTGATTGCACCACTGCACTCCAGCCTGGGCAACAGAGCAAGATCCTGTGAAGGAAGGGAGAGATGGAGAGAGGAAGGGAGAGAGGAAGGAAGAGAGGAAGGGAGGGAGGGAGGGAGGGAGGGAGGGAGGGAGGGAGGGAGGAAGGAAGGAAGGAAGGAAGGAAGGAAGGAAGGAAGGAAGGAAGGAAAAGAAAAGCAATTCAAGCCTAATTCTTCCCTGACTCTATTAGGAAACTCTACCATGGGGTGAGATCACCCAAAGTCTGAATGTCCAGGTCCCCCCTGGAGGCCAGGGCTGGGAGCCCGTCTTCATCATCCCAAAACTCATGCGAGAAATTTCCCCAAGAGAAGACAGAAAACTAAGCAAAGATTTCCCCTCTTCATTCCGCCCAAGACAAAGCATCTGAAATTCCACTCTCATGTTTCCTTCATCATCTCCCACTTTCTACTTCTTTTTGCCACAGGGGGAAAAATTCTGCCTGGGAAGGACATCCTTGGAGACACTCCCCTCCCAATTAACTACCCATCTGGTAGCATCTCTGCCTGAAGATGGGTAGCAAATGCTAGTGGAGGGACCACTCTTTTCCTGCTTCCTGGCCTCATCATCAAAATGGGAAGATTAGGCAGGGCGCGGTGGCTCACGCCTGTAATCCCAGCATTTTGGGAGGCCGAGGTGGGTGGATCACCTGAGGTCAGGAGTTCGAGACCAGCCTGGCCAGTATGGCGAAACCCCATCTCTACTAAAAATACAAAAATTAGCCAGGTGTGGTGGCAAATGCCTGTAATCCCAGCTATTCAGGAGGCTGAGGCAGGAGAATCACTTGAACCTGGGAGGCGGAGGCTGCAGTGAGCTGACATGGCGCCACTGCACTCCAGCCTGGGTGACAGAGAAAGGCAGCATCTCAAAAAAAAAAAAAAAAAAAAAAGGCGGAAGATTAAACCCAGAGTGACCATTACCAGTCTAAGAGTCATAGGCTGAAGCTGAGACGTCTTCCCAGGTAAAGGCCACTCTGGGGAGAAAGTACAGCCCTATCCCTTCCTCTACCCAAAGCTCCTGAGCTGCTCCACTGCACCGGCAGGTTCGGAAGCAACCCCTGTCAGCAAGGCTCTCTGGTATGCAGCCTGAAGAATCCAAGCCCCTAGAATGCCTGCCGAGTCCTGCTTCAGGAGCCCGCTTAGCCTTCTCTGGAATCAGATTCGCTGGCAAAACCTCTGTCCGTACACGGAGGTATCCCTTTTGCACGGGGAGCTAGAGAAGTCAGAGACTGGTTGGAAAACAGCCTTGCTTGTCTCCTCTGGCTAAACACTCCACACACGAAGCACCCCACCCTGGGGACCACCCATCCAAGCAAACGGAGCCCACCCCACCCCGGGGGAACACCGACAGTTCAGGCTTCCGCTGCAGACAAGATAGGGCTGAACCCGCAGCTCTGAAGGGCTGACTGAAAAAGCAAATTTCCCTGTGATGCTCTCACTGAAAAAAAAACCCTGATAGCTCTCTCCCCTGGGAGCAGGAGGAAGCCTCTTTGCCCAGGAGGACTGTGCTGTTCCTTGGAAACGAGCCTGCTGCCGTTAACAGATCCAGCAGGTATGGGCAAATCAGCTAGAATGCATAAAACATTACGTTCGCCAAATCCCCCTGGACAGAAATCTCGGATTCAGCAAACAGCTCAGATCTGAAAGGATTTCCACTCACAGCTTCGAAATCCCCCAATTAAAGGCACAAGTGCATGGCAAAGGTGGAGGCTTGGGGCTTCCGGGCTCCCAGTACCCACAGCCTGGAGATGGTGGCAGTGACATGACCTGGGTCACGTGCACACACCTTCCAGAGGCACCTCGGCCTCCTCAGCTGTAGCAGCTTGTGGGTGTGGCTGGCCTGGAGTGACAGGCTCCCTCACTACCATGCTGCCTGCAGCTGGGTTCCCTTGAGTGAAAACACTTTAAGGGAACTGTTTCTATCCCTCCAGTCCTGAACAAGCCAGTGGTCCCCAGGGCCCCAGGAGCTACACACCCATTTGCATGTTGTAACTAATCAATTGCAACCCACGTCAATCAGGGCCTTACTGGTCTCGGGCACAGAACATGCTGGGTGATGCCTCAAAGCGCCAGCCTCCCCAGAAACTTCACTAAGGAAGAGGTTTCTTCATAAAATGTCTACCATCTGACGGCTGGCTCTCCCCTCTTTCAGTGTGAGCTGCTGTTTTCTCCTTAAAACTGCCAGAGCTCTCTTCTCCCTGCCAAGGGGGCACGCCCACTCCACAAACACACAGGGTACACCAAAGCCCTTGAGACACTCTTGGAATAATGATGCCACTCTGTACCTCCAGGGGACTTAACTAATTTATAAGGCAATTTTAATAATAACCATATATTAATTTTACATCCCCTTTTTACCTATTTCAGTGGCTATGAACTGTTAGGAATTCGGTAATATGTTACAATGGGCTCCTGGGGTCTTTTTATTAACTAATGCCCCATATTTAAAAACCTTCTTGTCAAATGAGAAACATTAAGAAGTGCTGTCCCTTTTATAATTGCTTCTAATAGACTCAATATTCAGGTCCTGGCCTGAACAGACAGCCCAAGCGATACTTCCCTAAATTGCATTTAACTTTTCATTTTCTTTCTGTCATCGGCCAACAGAATAATTCTGCAAGCGCGCAAATGGTCATTTTACCGTGTCGGCCTGTAGCTCTGGAGATGTCTGTAAATCTGCAGGTTAGGAGGGCCACTCAGGTCAAGAGACGCGCAGCCTTTCTGCCCGGAGTCTGGCCACAGGAGCGACGCTTGGCCATTTTGGTGTGTGTGCACAAGCCTATTTATCAAAACATATGCCTATGCCAGTAAACTGCACCCATCTTAAACATCCAGACTGATGACGTCTCACAAGCATGCCCCGTGAGTGAAGACCCAGGACATTTCTTGTCTCCTAGTGGGTTCCCTCACCGCCCCTTCCCTTCCCCTCTCCTCCTCTGTTGCTTGTTGGGAACTTTACGTCCATGGGATGGTACTTGCCTTTCTCAGCCTGGCTTCTTTTGCTGGACATCACTTTCAGCGCTGTCCACGTCCCTGACTGTGGCAACGATCTGCTTGTTTTCACTGCCCGACAGTTCTCCCTGTATGGACACCCGTAGTTGACCCACTCGCCATACACAGGCTTGGCTTCTCCCCAGCTCTAGACTACTCCCCTACCTCGTGCGTCTCTGGGGCACATGGGGCAGGCAAAGGGGGAGTGTGGGGCGCCAGGCACGGAATGCTTGGTTTTGTGTGGACACTGCCAGCTGTGTAACAGTGATGGTTCTAGCATCTGTTTTCTGCTTTTTTATCCCCACTGGCAGAGAAGAAACTTTGAAGCTCATGACTTTGTGGGCCTAGGCTGGAGGCATCGGGGCACCTCAGCAGACCCGGGGGGGCCACTGGGCATTCCTTCACTGCACCATCCCTGGCAGGGCAGGCAGGAACAGGGTTCTCCTAACGTTAGGCTTCCCCACGGGATGATGGCACATGTGGCCTCCCTTGGCCTTTGGGGTGAACTTTACAGAAATGGAAACTTTATTGTGAATGAGGGAAGGACAGTACAATGCAACCCCATTCAGCCAGGGGAGAAAGCTGCTACCCAGGGTGTCCAAAGCAGCTGGGAAAGGTCATGTCCTTTGGGTGGTCACTGGGCCTTGGGAACATGGCCAGAACCCAGCCAGGTGGAGCAGCAGAAGCCTGGCACATCACACGGGTGGTCCAGCCCTCCTCGGTCCCTGACCCTCCCTATTCTGGAAGTGAAGGCCTGAGACAGAGCAGTCAGATGTTAAGGTTGGGGGAGGAGGGTGGAGGGGGCAGGTACAGACCCCTGAGGATGGCCTGGAGGGAAGGCACCCGGATAGACGGCAGCCTCCATGCCCAGGGACTCGGGAAAGATCAAAGCGTGAGCCTGAATCCGATGCCAGAGGAAGACGAGGGATGCAACAGGCAGCAGAGAACACAGCCTAGACTGTGGCTCCCTCATCCATCCGGCATCTCCAGGCAGAGGAGAGCAAAGGCCTGGCCACCCGCGGCTGCGCGAAAAGCCACCAGGGTGGGATCCTTTTTCTTCATTTCCAAACCCAAAGGCCCCTCGGCTGGGCAGGCGTCTGATCCCCACTCAAAGCCACAGGGAGCCTCAGCTGGGACACAACCTAAGGGCTTGGAAAATGGAGGACCCAGAGCCAGTTTTAGCAGTAGATGAATAATAAATGTAATTAACATGATGGAAAACAGAAGCTGGAGGCCCGGCTGAGGCCCCAGAGAGTGACTCATCAGCTGCCTCCCTGTCATTTCTGGCTGCCTGGGCCCCTCGGCAGGGACAGGTGCCAGGAGGTGAGGGGTGCCGAGCCCAGAGCGAAGAACAACTGGGGCAGGTCCAGCTGGGGACAACGGCCCCTCCAGAACCAAACCCCCTCGTTCGGTCCCAGCAGGGCCTGCCCTGGTGCTGGGGTCCCTGGGCCCTGCAGTACACCTCTCTGGTCTCAGGTGCTGCGCTTGTAAAGTGGGAGTGACAGCCACGCTTTGGCTGTTGTCCTCTGGGCACTGTGTGAGAATCTGCTGATGCTCGTATGGCCCTCAGTTCTCAATCACGACAGGATTGGGGGTCAGAACCTCCCAGGGCCATGGGCAGAGGCTGTGCAGCCCAACCCACACTCCCGTGGCGTCCCCGGATTGGTCACTGGGATGATCAGATGAGTCTGAGGCCAGCGGGTGCCCTCCAGGCTCTCAGCAGGTCTTCGGCCTTCCCAGGGCTGTAAACACTGGGTGAAGGTTGGGGCGTGGGGGAGGCGCACTGCTTCCAAGAAACGGTGAGCAAGGAAGGGTGCAGGCGGCTGCTGGAGGAGCCGTGAGCAGGGAAGGGTACGGGCAGCTGCTGGAGGAGAATATGGGTCTGAGGTTAGCACAGCCCAGGGCTCCCTCTGACACCTCTGCCCCCACATTGGTTTCAGGGCACTGCTTTCGGCCTAGAGGAGCAGAGGAGAAAGCAGAGGAGTGGGAGGCAGAAAGTAGGAAGAAAAGGAGGGATAAGGGAGGAGGAGAAGGAGGATGGAGGAAGAGGAAGGAGAGGGAGAAAGAGGAGGAGGGAGAGGAGGAACAGAGGAAAGAGGAAGGAGAGGAGGACAGGAGGGAGAGAAGGAGGAGAGGAAGGAGAGGAGGAGGAGAGGAAGGAGAGGGAAGAAAAGAAGCAGGAGGAGTGAGAAGAGAAAGAAGCGTGGGAGGAAGAAAAGGAATGAGGGCACTCACCAAGGCAGCCTTCCCAGCAGGCCCCATGCCCTGCCTAGGAGGCAGGCAGGAGCCGTCCTCAGCATCTCCCGATGTCCCAGTACAGGGGTGCTCCTTCCTCACCATGATGGGCCTGGTCTGAGGGCTCCAGTCCCGCCTGGACTGCAAGGTTGCATGGGCTATGAGCCAAGTTCCTGCCCAGCAGGCCCCACCGGAGAGACCCATCCCACTCCCCCTGCAGGGGCAGAGGGGCTGGGGGAAGAAGACGGTTAGGTACTGCCAGGAAGGTCCTCTCACCACAAATTCCACCTTTATGGGAAAATCAATGTTATTACCTCCTCCATCTTCCCACGCTTGCTGCTGGTCTAAAGCAATCACCTCACGGGCACTGAGCCAGAACTGAGTCAGTGCTCCTGGGGTCACTGCCCACCTCTGCCTCCCGGGAGGGCCAGGAAGGGAATCGGTCGGAGAGAGCCAGCACGCCCAGCTCTCTGGGTGTGAAGAGAGGCCCCTGGGGCTGGTTCACTGGGTCGGAGCACCAGCCACGTGATGCCTCACTCACAGCACTAGCAAGGCAGGCCCCTAGTCCACGGGGAGAAGGGCGATCTTCCTTAACTACGAGAGCGTTAAAGTCCAACAAGGCAGAAGCCGCAGGGTTTGATGGAAGACTTCCTGGAGGAGGAGGAAAGAACAAGTGGGAAATCCAGAGAAGCTGGCACGGAAGGGGAGCAGCAACCAGGCGGAGCAGCCAGTGCTCCAGGGGCCACGGGAGAATCAAAGTGAGTGGGGCTCTCTGAGAACACGGCCTGGAAGCCTGAAGAAGAGACACACCACCCGCGACCACAGGGCTCCAGTCCTCGGAAAGGCTGTGTCGCCTGGCCCTGCACACTACTCTGAATGTTAGTGTCTCAAAACAGTCAACTTTTTCCTTTCAAGATTCTTCTAAATGATAACTTGTTTAACTACCTCCATCAATTGGCTGGCAATTCCATGAACAAATGGTTCTCTGCTTGTCTCGAAGTTCAGCCACTTTTATTTGTCCCCAAGTATTTGGCAGGAGCCAGTTGCATCAATATAGAAACGTCAATTTTTAACAGCCACATGAGATGCAGGGGTTCAGATGGATTTTGTGTCGGCAGACAGGGCGCCTGGAGGAGCTGTTATTAACAGTCAGGGGAGACACGGGGGCAGGCCCGGGAGACAGCGCTCCAGATTTAGACTGGATTAAGAAGATACTGTAGGCACCAAGCCTCTAAGCATCATAAATAATGCTAAAATTTTAGACTGTGGTTGAACTCTCAGCTGTCACAATCGTTTAGATCATGATGCGTTTGATGTTTTATAGCAAGATGACAAATATCTTTCTCAACTGCTAAGTGCAGAGAGCCCGTTGGAATAAATCCAACCAAACTGCCCACCACAGGTAAGTAGGTGGTGTCATTAGGAGGAGACTTGGGGGAAGCGATGGTGTCAGAAACGACTCAGGCAGTGATTTCCGAAGGCACGCCCCGACTGTGCAGTTCGGGCCATTTTTCTCAACCCTCGCCGGTTCATGGCACAACGTAATCTCATTGTTGGAAGAGGCAGGGTCCAAACTCTGAATAACACATGGAGTCTGACACCCTGGCTCTCTCTTCAACAACAATGAAGTCACAGTAAAGCCAGCGAAAGGGACAGAAAAAAACAATGCAGGAAGGACAACATGGTGAAATGTCTAACTGTGAAACAGAAGCTGGTTCAGGAGAGCCACGGGCAGTTCTTCTGGGCTCCTGGAAGTAGCCCTCCAATCACACCAGCTGGCCCCCTGCCCAGATGCAGGCTGCAGGGATGTCCAGGAACCCAGGTGGGATCTCAGAGGGCAGACCCGGGGTGCTGGGTTTCTTGCATGGACCCTCAGTTGGGCAAGAGTGAAGAGAGCCGCCTGCTTGCTGGGCCCGAACAACTCCCTGCAGTTCTCCCAGGGCACAGGCTGTGCCTGCTCTGCAGGGAAAACAACGCCCATTTTACAATCCTGCCCCACAGGGGGCCCCAGACCAACACAGCTGGTTGTCTCTCCTCTGAGCAAGGCCAGGGTGACTCTTGTGGTTGCCAGAAAATGGCAACTGCTGGACATCAAGAGAAGAGGCAGGTCCAAGGGTCTCTCTCCCCTGCCCTTTGCCTTAATGAGGTCTGACGCCACGACCTGCGCCAGAGCACTCTATGCCCCCAGACTTGCCAGCGGTGAGTGTTTCCACTGCCCAAGTGGCCAGGCCCAGGACTGGAGTGGCCCTGAGGTGATGGGGGGGGCGGGGGCAGGGTTCTGCTGGAAGCCGACAGTCCAACCCTGGCATGGGCAGCTGTCCAGGAGGAAAACATTCTCCCTGGGCTGTTTCTCCTCCTCGGAGCAGAACTGTGACACCTCAGTACCAACCAATGGCAACCCTGGGGCACAGGAGTGCTTTCTGCCCATTCTTTTTTTGTTTTGTTTTGTTTTTTTTTTGAGATGGAGTCTCATTCTGTCGCCCAGGCTGGAGTGCAGGGGCGCAATCTCGGCTCACTGCAACCTCCGCCTCCCAGGTTCAAGCAATTCTCCTGCCTCAGCCTCCCGAGTAGCTGGGATGACAGGCACGCACCACCACACCCAGCTCATTTTTGTATTTTTAGTAGAGATGGGGTTTTGCCATGTTGGCCAGGCTGGTCTTGAACTCCTGAGCTCAAGTGATCGACCCGCCTCAGCCTCCCGAGGTGCTGGGACATAAGGGACAGGTGGCGTGCCTTCTAGTCAAACAGGGGCCTGTCCTCAAGGATGGGCCAGTGGCACAGTTCTCCTCCCTGGCAGTGCACAAGTGGCCACCCGAGGACAGGACATGGAGCTGAGGTTTGAGGGGCTGCTTGAGACGTCACTGCCTGTTTACCCCACATGCTTCCCCCGAGGTGGGAAAAGTGCGACATGAACAGGGTTCCCATAACCTGGGCACATCTCATCTGCATCATAGCCCTGAAGGTGCCCCAGCAGCACCTGAGTCCTGTGCCTCCTGTCCTCCTGCCCCCTGCCTCCCTCTGGGCTGGGCACTTGAGCCGAGGGGTCCTGGCTGTTGGTGGCCATGAGTTCTGGTGGGACCCTGAGGAGCAGCACCAGAGCCTGCAGATCCTGTCCCAGAGGGGCCGGACCTCAGGCATAGGCGGGTCCATGTAAAGACTCCTTCCCTCTGTGCACACTGGTCTGGGAATGCGTGGGCCTAGGCCAGGGCGGGCTGGCTTCTGGTGTGGGCTGGCTGTAAGGCCCATCGAGCCTCCCCAGCTGCTCTGACCAGCAGGGCTGCTCAGCAATGCCTCTGGGGCCCAGGCGATTTGTTTCAGCTCCTTGGGAGCTCTCAGCAAAGGAGACACCCCAGGTGGGAAGGATCCGAATGAGGGATGACCACCACAGGGGGTTCCTCAAGTGTCTGCGGGTCACACAGCCCAGCACCGTCCTGAAGAGGCTGTCCCCAGCTCACATGGGGCGGCTGGCACCCCCAACTGTTAGCCTGTCCTGTGATTAAATGAGATCACAACCTATAGGGTGCTGCCACCCTCGAGGCTGACCAATGCCTTTTATAAAAACTCCCTAGAGCAAACACCAAACTTTCCAAGGCGGGGTTCCAAGAAAGGTTCTTTTTTTTTTTGTAGAGATGGGGTCCTTCTGTGTTGCCCAGGCTGGGCTCGAACCACTGGCCTCAAGTGATCTCCCTGCCTTGGACTCCCAAAGTGCTGGGATTACAGGTGTGAGCCAAGTGTCTGCCAGAGAGGTTCTTAAATAATGATTTGACACTGGCTTTTCCTCAAGCGTTTCTAAACCTTCTAAATGACAACCACTGGGACCTGTGCAGGACGAGTGATCCTGGCTCGAAATGAACCTCCGAACCTCTCCCCAGATGCTCTTCTGTTCGCCCCTCTGCTCCCTCAACTTTCCCAGGCACAAGGGGTCTGGACTCTTCTCCCTGTCTTCCCCACCTCACTCACTAGCAGCTCCATCCTTTTGGTTGCTCAAATCCAGACCCTTGGAGTCATCCTCGACTCTTCCCATAACACCCAGTCCTGATGGGCTGGCTAGCTCCGTCTTCACAACCTACCCATCCACTCCAACCCCAGAGCTACAGGAGCCTCCTCCTGGGCTTGCTGCTCCTGACCTGGCCCCTCCATCTCTGCTTTGGACAGCAGCCAAACGGCTGCCCTCGGCTGCCCTCCTCTGCTCGGCCCCTCACCTCTCTGGCCCCACCTTCTGCCTCCAGTCCTCTCCTCTGCCTGTTTCTGCCTGTCTCCTGGCTGTTTCTGTTCCCTGACACCCCAGGGCTCAGTCCCTCACCCACTTTGGGTCTCACTTGACTGTCCACCCTGTGCAAGGCTTTCAACATCATCCTACTCAACACTGCCAATCACTCCCAGGACTCCCTCTACTGCCGTCCCCGCTTTTATTTTCCACAGTGCTGGTCACTATTGAATGCACTATGTATTTTACTTCTTTATTTGGTTGATTTCCCCTCTAGAGCTTCACAGATGGGATTCCTTCTGTTGTGTCTCCTCAGCTCCTAGAAGAGTCCTGACACCTGTCGTTACTCAGCACATGTGTGTAATCCGGTGAGGGGCACTGGCAGGCTGGAAATAAGGAACATTCACCAGCCAGGTGCCAGGGCAGGTCCTTGGGCAGCCTGCCTTCCCAGGATGGGTGGTGCATGGTGGGCACCCATCAGCCTGCTTGGCCAGGAGCAGGGAGAGGATTGGGAGACCCAAGCTATACTCCAGGCAAACCCTCTGAATGGTCAAATCGGAGTCATCTGAAATGGACAACCCTACATGTAATGTTTAGATGGTCCTGGCCCCACCTACGGCATCTGGAAATGATGTCTGGTCCTGAAGGGATGATGAGCCTGGTTCTGCTGTCTCCACCAAGCCCAGAGAGCTCAGCCCTGGCTCTCCAAGGCTGCCTGAGATGGCACCTTCAGAAACATGCCCTGGCATTTAACATCCTTACGGTGAGGCTGGCCTTTGTCTGGCCCTGGGACCACCTGGGAATGGTTGCCGCATGCACCTCATTACAACACAACACTTGCCGATGGCTATCGGGCTCACCGGGACTGGTGACCACATCCTCAGGAAACACAGCCGCCTGCAAGAGTGCACAGCCCCGGGGAGGCCGCCGCCTTGCTCGGACCTACGTGTCTTTGCGCCCAGCCAGGCTGAATCCCCTGAGGGCTGAGTGAGGAGCCCACCCGGTCCTCCTTCCCTACCACCAGGGTAGGAGGCAGCCCTGTTCCTTCTCTTCACTTGCGAGCATTTATGAGCGCCTGCTGTATGCCTGACTCTGCCACAGAGAAAACGGTGTTGGGGCCGCAGCAATGGCCCTGGCTTCCTAACTGAGGCCGACTTTGACCCAGAGGTGGCTGGGGGATCTAAGCCCCTTCCCAGGCAGTCTCTTTCCACTTTATCGGGCAGAAACTTCTTCCTTACTAGAGCTGGCCTGACTGGTAACATGTTATTTGTCATCATAATTCATAATGCAAAAGGTATTTGTCCTTTTTATGGGTATTTTAAAACTAGAACTTCTCTGCAAGACAACTGTGCCTTTCCAGTACCCTGCACTGAGACAGTCACTACCAGGTTGGAAGAAGCAGGTGTCTTTCTGTAGGGCAGAGGTCACCATAGGTCACCATGGAAAAATGGAGCACAGGCTCTGGGGCCAAAGACCAGGGTTCAAAGTTGGCCTCCCCCACTAGCTTGTGGTGTGACCTTGGACAGGTTACTCAGCCTCTCTGTTCCTCATGTGTAAAAGGGGCTTAATAATAGTCCCTGGGCCGGGCACAGTGGCTCATGCCTGTAATCCCAGCACTTTGGGAGGCTGAGGTGGGTGGGTCACCTGACGTCAGGAGTTCGAGACCAGCCTGACCAACATGGTGACACCTCATCTCTACTAAAAATATGAAAAATTAGCCGGGCATGGTGGAGGGTCGGGGGCGCCTGTAATCCCAGCTACTTTAGAGGTTGAGGCAGGAGAATCTCTTGAACCCGGGAGGCAGAGGTCGCGGTGAGCCAAGATTGCTCCATTGCACTTCAGCCTGGGGGACAGAGTAAGACTCTGTCTCAAAAAAAAGAAAAGAAAAAAAAGGCTGGGTGCGGTGGCTCACGCCTATAATCTCAGCACTTTGGGAGGCTGAGTTGGGTAGATCATGAGGTCAGGAGATCGAGACCATCCTGGTTAACACGGTGAAAACCCATCTCTACTAAAAATACAAAAAAAAAAAAAAAAAAAATCAGCCAGGCATGGTGGCACACGCCTGTAGTCCCAGCTACTCAGGAGGCTGAGGCAGGAGAATCGCTTGAACCTGGGAGGTGGAGGTTGCAGTGAGCCGAGATCGTGCCATTGCACTGCAGCCTGGGTGACAGAGTGAGACTCTGTCTCAAAAAATAAATAAATAAAATAAAAATTAAAAAAATAAATAAATAATGGTCCCTTTACTCAGAGGGTTGCTCCAAGGATTAAACAGATCTTACCTGTCATTTAATTATAGACACACGCCGGGCCACACCAGAGGCTGGCACGTGGTCAGGCTTGGGAAACGTCCACCGGGGCTGTCCACTGGCTTGCCCCACAGAACTGTGCTCCACGGGGGCTGGGCCTTTCCTTTACCACTGCCTCCCCAGGGCCTAGAACAGTATCTGGCACATAGGTGTATCACAAATGTTTGCTGACAAAACCAATTTCCTAACATTTGTATTCCCCACCAAAGAAACTCGGTACCCATCTGCAGTCACTCCTCCCTGCTTTCTCCCCCACGGTCCCGGAAGCTCATTGCCCCATCTCTGTGGACTTGCCTGTTCTTGACATTTTGCACAAATGGAATCACACAGCATGTGGCTCTCCAACTTCTGCCACTGGACACCATGTTTTCAGGATCTACCGATTCTGTCATATGTCCCTGTGCTTCATTTTAAAAACTGCTGAATACTATTTCCTTGTGTGGGTAGACTGCACACCACACTTTATTTATCTGTGTAGCAGTTGGTGGACATTTGGATTCTTTTCCACTTTGGGGAGAATGTGAGATTGTAATTTGCCTTTCTTGATACATGACTGAACAAGTCAATAAAAAAAATTTAAATAAAAAATCGAAAATTATTCATTTAAATGTATTCACAAGATTATACGCTTATTTATGATTCTGTTTCCTACATAATTGCTGTTTATAGGCATGAACATAATTGCTGTACACACAATACCATTTGCCATGATAAATGGCAAATTTCTTTGAGAATTTGAATTTAAAAAGAAAGCAATATAAAAACAACTCAAAGATAGGAAAATTTTTGAAAACCCAAATAAAGAAAAGCCTTTTAAACTCTTATTCAAAAAAAAAAAAAAGTTTGCTGAGAAAAAGAATGGCTGAAAGAGGATTGATCTGACAGGCAGGTGAAGGGTGAGCGGGTGTGCATAATGGGGGTACACATTACACGCATGTGCACGCGCACAGCACACACATAGTGTGTCCTCAGGCAGGTAGGGTGAGAAGAGTGTAATGGGTGTATATATCACATGCACTTGCGTGCATACATGCGCGCGCGCACACACACACACACCATGTGTCCTCAGGCGGGCAGGGTGAGAAGAGTGTAATGGGTGTACATATCACATGCACTAGCGTGCGTACATGCGCGCGCACACACACAGTGTCCTCAGGTGGGCAGAGTGAGAAGAGTGTAATGGGTGTACATATCACATGCATATGCGCACACACACATATGTTGTATGTCCTCTGGCAGGCAGGGAGAGGGGCGCGTTCAACAAGGGCACACACCACACACACGCATGCACACTCTCAGGCCGGGACATGGAACCCAGCCAGGCTGGGACAGAAAGTGCAGCGCCAGCACCCTGGGGATCTCTCTCCATTCAAAATCATAGACTTCATAAAAGCACAGCCTGTGGGCACAGCCGCTGAGGTTTAAGCAGGAAACAGTGACTGAGGCTGGGATGGAAAAGGGAGCAACTGACACAGCCCTGGCTGTGTCCCGGTAAGGGGCCACACAGCAGGACACATGCCAGGAGGGGCCTGACTCAGTCTAGACACTGGTTCAATGCCACTGGGTTGGGGGGACTCAGGGCCTCTCCTCCTCCCCTTTCACCCTCTGCATTCAATCCATGGGTGAGCACTCTCAGCTTCACCTTCAAACTCACCCTCCAGCCCCCTCACTCCCACGGCCAAGCCTACCAGTCTGCCTCCAGGGCAGCCTCCTCACTGTCCTCCCCACGGCCACCTCCATCCACTCACTCCCCAAAGCCAAGCCCCAGCAGGGCCAGGCACTCCCCAGCTCCCAGAACCCACCTGGTGTCTCACGGAGACCTGGCTGTGTGGCCCACTCCTCTCTTACCTGCCACGCCCCATCCACCATGCCTCTCTCCACGTGGCAAGTGCTGGAGATCCTCACCCCTCTCAGCCTCAGCTCAAGGGTCACCCCATTTTCCTGGACAACATTTTATCACCGTGCGTAATCCTCCCACTTGTCTGTCTCCTACTATGGGATGTTGGCTGTGTGTCCAGCCTGAGGCCAGCCCAGCCCTTCAGAAAGTCGGAGGTCACCACGGTGAAGTGCAATGCAGGCTCCACGGCCAACGTCAAGGTTCAAATCCTGCCTCCCCCTCTAGCCCACAATGTGATGCTGGATGAGGTTACTCAGCCTCCTCAATGATGCCCATACACAGAGGGTTGCTTCGAGGATTAAACAGATCTTGTCCCTCATTTAACTACACACATGCAGAGGGCCCAGACCGGAGGCTGACACGTGGTCAGGGCTCAGGAAATGTCCACTGAGCTGCCCGCTGCCTCGCTGCTGAATCAGCGTGTATGAACCAACAAGATAAGGAACCAGACCTGGTTTCTCCAGAGACCAAATGCACTATTTTAATCAGCTCAACAGCATCCCTCCAAATTCATACATCAAAGCCCCAATTTACAGTGCCTCAGAATGTGACTATTTGGAGACAGCACTTTAAAGAGGTGATTAGGCTAAACTGAGGCCATTAGGGCAGGACTAATCCACTCTGACTGTTGTCCTTATATGAGGACATTTGAGCACACGAGAGAGACCCCAGGGATGCGTGCACACAGAGGAAAGGCCACGTGAGGACATGGCAAGAAGGCGGCAAGCCCGGGAGAGAGGCCTCAGAGAGTAGCAGCCCTGCCGATGCCTTGATCTTGGACTTCCAGCTGCCAGAAGGGCGAGAAAACACATTTTTGTTGCTTAGGCGACCAGGGCTGTGGTCTTTTGTGTGGCAGCCCTAGCACACTCACACAGGCACCTTCAGGCCAGAGGGTGGACGAGAGGACCCCAGATCCACCAGTGAGTGTGTGAACCACCAGTGAGTGTGTGAACCACCAGTGCCTGCATTGCCCAAGACCTGAGCTCTGAACTCGAGTCCCACCAGGCTCAAAGCCAGGACCTCAGGGGACGTCAAGACAGGTGTGACAAGTCCCTTCCCCCAAGCCAGCTCTGGCCACAGCCTGCTGCCCATCAGGAGGGGCCTGAATTATTCCCCGTGGCAGAAGAGAGAAATCCACGACCTCCAGTCTGCCCGCCCCTGCCCCCACCACCAAGGAAGGGTCGCCGGTCCAAACCACCCGGACCCCGCAGCCTGTTCAGGATTCATTTTTTTCCTCTTCAAAGCATTACAGATTGATTGCCAAGTCTTGCCATATATCAAAAGACAGTCACTACTCATTACCTACTTAGAATTCACCGAGTTTTTCCTGGGAAGCCATTTCTCATCTGTTTGATCTCGAAGCCACCAGCACTATCTCCAGGCACGCCACCCATCACGGCAGCCACCAGACACTTTTTTCTTTCGGGCTCCTTTCTCAGCACCTAGATGAATTTCCACCTTTCTCCAGCTTTAAGAAGAGCTGCCAAGATAAATGATTCAAAGACTCCAGCTCATGCTGAAAATATATGGACTGCTTAAAGCCTATTCTGAATCAGGCAACACTGGGGAGAGACGCACTGGCCCCATCCTCACCGGACGGGTCATCCTGGCTGCTAAGCCCCAGACCCACCTGGGCACGTGGACACTCTGTAGTCTTTTCACCTGTGGGATGATGACACTTGTCCAGCTTCAAGCAGCACCAGGTGCCCGTGCCATCCCCAAGCCTCTGCGACCTCTCAGCACAGGGTGGCCGAGAGTCCCACAGTCACATGCTGGCCTAGCAGGAGTGCAGGGTCCCCTGTTTGCAGTGCATCCAGGAGGAACTTCAGTCCCCAGCCCTGAAGCTGGGACCCCTTTTGCAAGAGCGGCATGCTTTCAGCCACGGCTGCTCACCACCCAGAGGGGAGGGCCCAGCGGGCATCAGGACCCCGCACCAAGGGCGAGGCCTTTCTGTCACCTCTGCCGATAGGGTCCCAGGACCACGGCTTTCTGATGTGCCTCCCACCGTCCAGCCCATGCACCTGTCTCCATAGCCATCAGCAGGCCCCACGAAGGGCATCTAGTCCCTCTTCTCTTGCTCAGATGGACAGTGAGAAAGTAAAACAGCATCAGCAAAGCCCAGCTAGGCTCCGACTCAACCAGTCACCCAGGCATTGGCTGTGCAGGTGACTAGACCGCCAGGGACCTCCAGCAATCAACTGCGGTCACCTCGGGCTGGAGAGGTAGCTACGGTGCACTTCACCCCAGCCAGGATGCCCAGGAGGGCCACCTGTGCCACAGTGCTGCTTCTGAAGGTTGTGACATGGAAAGAGCTCTATCCCCAGGTGCAGACATGGAGGTCAGCAACCACCACTCACCAACGAAGGGACCCCAAGTGCTGTCACAGGTGCATCCACAAGGCTTGCGGTACACTCATGGAGGGTGGCCCCAAGGGAACAGTGCGGGATGGC